CGAGAGAAGGGAGAAAGCAGAGCCTGAGACACCAAGTTCATGAAGGGAGGAAATAAGGGTCTGGTGGTTTACTGTGTCAAATGCAGAATAAAGGTCCAGAAGGATGAGGACAGAGGAGACAGAGGCGGCGCTAGCAGTGTGGAGTTGCTCTGAGACAGCAAGGAGAGCAGTCTCTGTGGAATGGTCTGCCTTGAAGCCTGACTGGTGGGGGTCAAAAGGGGAAGAAGAGAGACCGGTCTGTAGTTGTGTTCTTCAGATGGGATTCTTCAGGAGAGGGTTAACTCTTGTCTCCTTCAGCGATTTGGGAAAACAATCAGATAACAAAGAAGTGGTAATGAGACAAGTGAGGAAAGGAGGAAGGTCAGGAGCGATAGATTGTAGAATATGGGATGGAATGGGGTCAAGAGGGCAGGTGGTCGGACCGGCAGAGGTTACTAAGGTAAGAGACAGGTGGGTGAAAGAGGGAAGTGAGGGCGATAGAGGTGGGAAGTAAGTAATGGAGATGGGTTTGAGAAAGAGGAGCGTATGTCAGCTGTTTTTCGACATCTTGTGATGTATATTCCCGCGGCACACAAAGCGCATCCCACCGGAAAACGGGCCGAGCGCCGAGCCCCCCGACTCCGGTTTGATTGCAGTAGATTTTGCAGCTCAGGAATCAATATCCAATGGGAATCCACTGGGGTAATAAGTCGGAATGCCGCCCGTTGGGGGCTCGGGTGGCGGGGGGGCGGCATCATCTCCTAGTCTCCCTTGTCAGCGTGCCTCAGCAGCCGAGATACCCGGAGATACTGATGTGAGGAGAGGGAGGGACGTCGGGGGGGGGGGATGTGCAAACTCGTCGCCAAGCTGCTCCTCCAGCTCTTTTTGAGTTCTCTTTCCAATTATTCCCATCATTAGAAGGTGGATTCATTTTCTCATCTTGGGTTTAGTCTCTAGGTTCAATGTGCATGTGTGTTAAAGAAAAGCACCTTGGGAAAATCGTTGTTCATTTCTCCTCTTTTGGTCTTGTCTTTTCAATCAGAATCACCTCGAGCAAATCGCAGCTGTAAGTCACAGAACATTAACTTTTACTTGCAAAACCAGGGGTGCCAAAAATAGCTCTTCCTAATCTATGACACTGTCATTTCAGGTACACTTAATGAAGCGGCTCACATCATCTGGTGTTTTCAACGTTTCTGATGTTCCCATCTTGTCCGTTGGACTTGGCTGTATTTCAAATATCTCGCCCATCATCCTTGGATGTTATCTGATATGATGGCCGAAGTATTATAGATCAAATTGCACTTTTTAAAGAGACAACATCCCAATGAAAACCTTAAAAACAAAAAACCTAATGAGGCTTTCTGTACCCTCCGTTTAGTGATAATCTCAAACATGGGCTTATTATTATTCACATCTGATTTCCAGTTGAAAGCCACGATCAAGCCGGGCTTGTATTTCAGACCATTAGCTCCTTCCACACATCGCCCCTCAACTAGTGACAGCTAAATGTGAGCAGCGCCTCCCCCCCCCTACAAATCTACATCGGTCGACCCTGGAAAAAACCCTTGTCCCTCTCTCCAGATCATCTTTTTTGGATGTTTTCCACACAATTGAACCGATTATTTCTTTACATTATTTACCAGTATCATTTCCACGAGACCGTTTTCATCTCATTCGAAGCACGCACTAGTTGTCATAATTTCGAACTGCTGAGGATTTAGACAGAGTTATGCGTGCCTTATATTTATAAGCAGGCCATTTTCTCGCCTCCAGCTCATCCAAAAATGGATTTTTAAAAAAACTCTAGGAAATCATATCACATCACTCCCATTCCCGCACGTTAACATTGGCTCCCTGTGGGTCTAAGACTTGACTTTCCAAGGCACGTTCAGGCCCCCGGTTATTGTTGATATGTAAATCCCGTATGAGCCACAGAGATCCTCGGGCCAGAGTCTCCTATTTGTTCCACCCACTAGCTCCACGACCGGGGGTGACCGGCCCCCTTTCAGTCCGCGACCCTCAGCTTTGCACCTCCCTACCTCCGTACTTCAGACTGCCTGAACCTGTCTCCACTTTGACACCACGTCCCTTTTTATGTAACTGTGTGTGACCAATTATGTTTTTATTTGCTCTCCATTGTGTCTAAACTATGACAGTCTTCTTGTAATCTAATTTATTCAGCCTTTTTACTGTTTTATAAATATCTTCTGTTTTTTTTTTACTATTAAACCGCTTTATATCTGTGAAGACCGCACACATTATTATAATTATCATCATTAGCAATCATCATTAATTCGGGTGAACAGTATGTACTTTAATAATGATTCATTTTGAATGTGATCATTTCAAAGAAATGTGGACTTGACGTTTCCACGCTGTAGTTGAATTTCATCGGCTTTCTTGCTGTAGTGTGTTCCTGCTATTTTGTCCAGCCCTGCAGTATAGTCCGAACGTGGCTGTCAGTGAACCAGACCCCACAAGCCCCTTCCCGCTCCTTCTCGTTAAACCAGCATCTGCTGAGGTAAGAGGCCTGAAACCCCCGACCACACACACACACACACACACACACGCACACGCACACACGCACACACACACACACACACACACACACACACACACACACACACACACATACACACTATCCCCACCTCCCTTACATTGCATTCTCTCAAGCTTGCCATCTGCCACAGTTGGACAAGACCCCACTAACACAGTAGCCACACACACACACACACACACACACACACACACCAACACACACGCGCGCACACACTCACACACGCGCACAAGCTTAGAACATTATCTCAAACCCTGGCTATTGCTGAAGCACATCTCCAGCACAGATGCACATGAACGCACACAAAGCAACACACACACACACACACACACACACACACACACACACACACACACACACACACACACACACACACACACACACACACACAACCCAAAGTTGGCCAGGCTGCATATTTAATGAGGAGCCCCCCCATGAACAAAACAGCTTGCAGGGTCATGATGGTTTGGAGCACAGCCCCATCGCGCCGCATGGAGAGAGTGAACTCCTCCCCTCTGCCGTGCGGCTGGCCCGAAGAGGGGGAGGCCGGGAGGGAAGAGGGGAGGGGGTGAGGGGGTGGGGGGGGGACTGAGGAGGAGAACAACAACAAACTCTAATTACTCCTCTGTGGCTAACGGGCTCTCGCAGCATTTTGTGTATGTTTTGTTTCAGTCAAGAGAGAAAGAGGGAAGGAGGGGTGCAGAAACGAAGAGGGGGGGGGGGGGGACGGGGGGCGGCGCCAACCCCAAAAGAGACCTGTGTCGATGGAACACGAAATCTCTCCCCCTGTCTCCTCATCCCCCCGCTCCCCCCCTGCCCGCTCAACATGATGCCCCCTCACTTCCACTGCAATTGTTCCCCCCCCCCCCTCCTCAGTTGGCCGGGATGAATAACGATGTCTCCTCTTGGAGGGAAGGAGGCAGAGGAGCGAGCCCGAGGCCATGCTTTCTGATGGCCTAAGCACTCCCCAGTTACTCTCCGCTCATGCAAAATCAACAGCGCTACGGGGGGTGGGCGGGGGGAGGGGGGGTAGGGGAGCTGCCTCCTGCGTTTGCCATTCTCCTTGTGTTGTGTTTGTTTGTTTGTTGTGTTTTGTTCGTCCACGGATGTAGACGCATGGAGGCGGGGGCCTGAGAGGGGGCCGAGACGGCACCGCCGTTGACCCCATCGTCATGGCGGGTGGGAGGGGGGGGGGGGGGGGGCACTTGAGGAAACCTTCCTTACTACATACGCTAAAGCCGAAGAGACAGCCGGGCCCCACGCCACAGACTCCGGCTATTGAGAGAAAAAAGGCTGCTCGGCTCATGGCAGCGAGCCACGTTGGTTTTCCTTTTTGTTTAATTTGCCCTTTTTGTTTTGCCCGTACCTCCAAATAGATTTGAAAGCACAAAGACAAAAACGAGGGCCGCGTTGGTTGGATTCCTGAACGAAAAGAGTCACATTTGGTGATATTCTTAACCGCGTAATCGTATCCCACCGGCTATATCACATCTCTTGCAACCAGGCGGCGTGCGGCGCGCCGCTGCCGCCGCATCGGAGCCCATTAGAGACACATTATCTGGTTCAGTGTGTCGCGCTGCCTTCGCCGATGTAGGATGAAATGGACCGTTCTAATTCTCATCAACATAGCTAATTTCACATAAGAGGAAGCTGATAGTGGGTGTCAAAACCATTCAAAGGTCACCCGAGCAGAGCCGGCTCGGATGGTATGCAAGAGTGTGTGTGTGTGCGTGTGTGTGGTCGACCTGTTTGAACGTCCGTGGTGTTTACTGTTGGTCTCCTCGCGGGCAAAGAGCCGTGTGATTGTGCAGCGTTTGACAAACAGGCAGAGCGGAGCCCTCACAGGATGAAGTTGTCAGAGGCAAAAGCAACGGGACGAGGAGGAGAGAAGAGATCCAGATATTCATCCTTCCCCCCTCCAAGTGACAAGTTTGACATTAGCGGCGGGGAGATGCCGCCATGTGACCTCTACGGGGGAAAGTGTCGCACTGTTAATGCCAGCTGTGTTTGGCAGCATGTTTCAAACGTGTCCCTCTGCATTACGAAAGACGAAGGGACGTTCTTTGGCGATTAATCAACACCGGAGAGATATTTTGAGTCAGATTTGGGTCGAATAGCACAGGCGTACAGGTTAGAATATGACAATGTGGAAGCTAATGTGTTTAAATGTGGTCACAGAAATGCGGTCAACGCAATGCCTTCATGCCACAGTCACTTTTAAATGTCCAAAAGCAGGGACTTCAGGGCGGGACTGACTTTGAGTCAAGGCTTTCTGACCTCAGTCCAATCCCCGGGTGTCCTTCTTATCATTTGCCGATGACACCTACAGATGTGTTGCAATGCAGAGTCAAAACAATCTTTGAAACAGATGGAAGGCAACCATATTTCAAATATGGGGACGAGGAGAGAACCCCAACATGCCGGTTGGTCCTTTTGCCTGCGATCGGAGAGGAGAACTCACCTGGTCAGCCTCCGGCGGGCGGTGATGCTGGCCACGATGACGCTCTCCGGCCTCGGGGTGGCCACAGCCTTGAAAGTCCCTCTCCAAAACTTCTCAAAGAGCTGCTTCTCCTCCAGCTGATAGAAGCTGCTCTGCGAGCCGGGGGTCGGCGGGGGCCCGCAGGGGCCCGGCGGGAGAGAGCACTGGGACTGCATCTGTGGTGGTCGTCTCCAAACACACCTCCCCTACCACCCCCCCCCCTTCACCCACACAAACCCCTCCAAAAGAAACACTCAAGCGCGCAAGCACGTCGCTCTCGGGAGCTGTCCAGGTACTGAAGCAAAGGGAAAACGGCGCGTCCAGGTGCCGCGCGCCGCCCTCCGCGCTCACAGCGGCGGGTCAGCGTGTGTCAGCGCGTCGGTCCGCCGGGGAGAGGGACAAAGGCTGACCCGCTCCGGCTGGAGGCTCCGTATTGTTCTCCCCCGATCGAGGGGGGGGGGAGGATGAGTGGAGGGGGGGGCAGATTGAGTTTCTTTCTCTCCGCCTCTCCTCTTCAGTCACATCTGCTGCTTCTTTTTTGGAGGGGGGGCGGGGGTGGGGGCGACGGGGGTCCGGGGGGGGGGGGCGCCTCCCTCCCTTTTTCTCGCTCCCCGGTCCTCAGGCTCACGCAGATGTTCGCGGCGTCATTGCAGGAGACAAAGTGTTTTTGCCTTTCTGGTGAGTGAGCCCGGTGAGCTGCGAGCAGGTGTCGCGGCGTGCCGGAGGGCAGGTGTGGAACCAGAGAGTGCGCGTGCGCGCGTGCGTGCGCGCGTGTGTGAGGAGGGAGTGGAAACTGAGTGAGCAGCTCAGCTGAGAGCGGCTTGTTTTGTGTCTCTCGGCTTGTGACGTCAACGTTGGGGGCTGGACGCCTCTCTCTCTCTCTCTCTCTCTCTCTCTCTCTCTCTCTCTCGCTTCTCATCCTGAAGACTCCCAGCATCCGTCCTTCTGTGCTTTATTTCTTTGTCTTTGTACCACAAATAATGTTTTCCTCTCATGTTTCTTTCAGGAGCGACCGATTAGTCACTAATTCTTTCACTCGTTGAATAATAATCTTCAAGGAGAAGCTGCTTTGCCTGTTCATTGTGCCGCCTTGTTTATGTCCATTGCGCCTCCTACAATACATATCGCAGCTGAATGAACTAAACCTTATTAAGACCATCTGCATCTATAGGTGATGACAACGTCTCTTCACCTGCAGCTACAAAATACTCAATATTGAATGATAACTTGATGGGCCTGAGTTCATAAAAGTCAGATCCCACATCAACATGTGAACATTTTCCTTAATGGATGGTTTGGTATTATAAGCTGTCCCGAGTCAGTGATTATTGATATGTCTGCTCTACACTTCAAGATGTTGTACACACACACACACACACACACACACACACACACACCCTCCCAAAGTGTCTTGGACAAAAGGCCGAGTGAATCAGCATAACAAAAGGCCGGGCTCAGTGAGGACCAGCCAGAGCATGCGGCCGACACAACCCTCCCCCTGGTGGGGGGGTTGAGCTTTTCCCTGCTGTCAGATACCTCCTCCCCTTCCTCTCCTCTCCAGGCTGCTTCTACACAACACACAAGCGCTAATGTGGAGCCCTAAACCACAGTATTTCTTAATGATGGAATGACGCACGTTCTTCCTCACTGGATGCTGATGGTAAACGCATCTGCCCCAGATGACCAGAGGACCACAGTGTCCTCTGGACCCCCGGCCGCGTGTGAACAAGGCGCCGACAACATCATCACGTCAACTTGTTCCTCCCCCCCGATGAGGAGTTGTAGGCGTGAGCAGGAATTAATCCCTCTCCCCGCTAATAGGCACGCACGAGGACACGGCGCCGTAACCCGCCTGGATTAATAATGCATGTGTTGGCAGATAACATGAAACCTTGATGTATGACAACGGCAGCCACGCGGTGATAAGTGGCTGCCTCATCAGGGCGCTTTGCATAAAGACGGAGCCCTCGAATCAAACCAGCAGCTCCTGCACAACCCAGGAGTACCGTTTCCTTTATGGTGGTGAATATTAAACAGCCGCTTCTGCCGTGAGATGAAGTCCGGGTCATGCTGGAGGGGCCCGGGGGCCGAGGGCAGCCGGGTGGTCTCTCCCTCCTCCCGCTGAGTGCTTTCATGAAGTGCTTTGGCCAGCGGAGGTTTTTTTTTTTTTTGCATGGAAAGTTGAGCTGAAGGACACGGAGCTGTTTGTGGAGAAAGTGGTGTTGTAGCGGAGGGAAGACTGGCTTTGTGCTTCAGCCTTGGTGTTTCTGCAGAGAGAGCGGCACCTGAGGACAGTGACATGTTTTTGAAGAGCGGCGCCTCTGTGAGTTTAAGGGCCCGATGGCCGGTCCCGTGCCGTGACCTCGACCTTCGTGGTCGATTCCAAACCGTTTCCATTCCAGTCCAACAAGTAACCTCAACCGTTTCATGTCCGGGCCCAAGCGTCGCCATGGGAGGTCAACGCCCTATTTCTCCCATACTGACAGTTGAGCCGGCTGGTCACGGTTGCTAAGTAACGTTCACCTTGGACAGCAGTTGAAGCACAACCAGATATTTTAATTTAGTGCTTCCAGGTTTAAAATCGCCACAAACCAGCATGATCAACCATTATCTCTTGTCCCACCGAGTCAGTAATGTTTTCACATTACTATTCAAAGCAAAGCCCTTTTTCTAATGATTATTTTAAAGGAACAGAGGGAACTTATGAGATGTTATTGGCCGGGCTCAATGGCTTTGCACTGCCAGATGTCATCGCGGCGGTGTTTGCAGTCGTGAGCACAGATGGATTCATCTAGGTGGATTTTCCTTTACGTTGTTGATTGTTAGGGACGAAATGAAACATTTCTCTTCATCAAACAGAGTTCCGGTCTATGAGGTTTTGTTGTGCAGCTTCTCCCACCGATGCATTATTGGAAATATTATTTTTGTTATTGAGAAACTCGTCCAACGGAGATCAGTACAGCAAAGCCTCACCTTTCCTTCAAACCCCTGAATATCTCTTTCTTTTCACAGCATTCATTTTTTATTTCTCACTCTGCATGCACACCCACACATAACTTCAAGAGAAATCAGCGCTGGTTTTTATCTGAGGATCAGCTGTCACCGCAGAATTTAGGATAGCCGGCTTAGTTTTTCCAAAGGGTTGGAAGAGATGTGACAGTAATAACGTTTCTTGGCTGAACTCTTTTCTTTGATGTCACTGTATTGTTTAGTTTAGAATGAAGCCGTTGTAGTCCAGCTAATGAGGCTTGAAATCCAAAAGAAATATGAAACCCTGAGAAATGTGAAGTCAGTTGTGACCATTTCTGGTTTCTGGTTTGTTGTCCGGATGATTTATATTCTGTTCCTTTTTATTTCCACTCGTTTAATTGAAGCAGCTGAACGTCTTTTCAATTCGGGGAGCTGCCTCAAAACCGACACGTCTCTCCTTAAGATGTGCTTTTTTTGTATTTTTGTCACATCACTCTATGACGCAACAAGCCGTAGATGTCAATGAGACGGCTTAATATTATATGAAGCTTAGGCGAAAGTTCAGTCAGGAAGACTGAACAGGCGGTGCCGTTCCCTGGTGGCCTCCTCTCGCCCCGTGGCCGCACGGCCAGCTGATTAGGGGCGGGGTCAGGTAGCACCAGCCAACCAGACGTGGCGGCCGTTACCGTAAACCAACTGCATCGGTGCAGGCAAACGTTAAAAACTCTTTTGCTGCCAGTTGTCAAAGTGGACCCGACACCTCCAATCTACAGCAGAACCTGGCACATCAGGGGAGCAACTTATTCTCTACCTCCACCACCAGTGTCTGGACTCCCAAAGGGGGGGAATATGCCTCATCTCGGCTCGGCGCCCCGGCCCCCGGTCTATCCTACGGCAGGATGGCGTCCAAGCACCAAACAGCATTGCAATATAAATATTTATGCCTGTTATAATAAGAGAACTTGCTCAGTGTTGGAAGGATTTCTCAGATCCTTTACTGTGTAAAACAATCAAAATATAATGTAAAGTCAAATGAATGGATAAAGAAATTGAAGTACTGGCATCACGATAAACTTATAAATGACCAAATATTAGTGAAGTGTTAATAATAATCCCTGGATTATGTAGACGTAAATAGAAACTATTCCTCACAATTATACTTGAGTAAAGGACTTGAGTAAATGTAATTATGTAATGTAACGTAATAACATTCCACCACTGCATGAAACTATTACTGGTTATCTGGGGATGAAAATGTTGCCTTTAGGTGTGAATGTCTGGTGCAGATTCGTCCCATAGCAACCGCGTTTGATCCCCGATATCGTAACTATGCACTCAGCTAATTAACGCAGACGTTCGTAAAAGTGGTCCATCGCCCTCCGGTGACACTGGCAGAAACGTTTGAAAGGACATTTCAGTTCAACTTTGAGGCTCCTGTTTAGGCACGACAAAGGCATTAACGAACAATCCCAGCATGCACTGCTGCTGTTTTACACACAACCAAGACGCAGGCTCTTCGTCTGGTTTGAATGTTTGCTCGGAGTCCCTTCATCAACATTTCAAGCCCAAATTCAAGGTGCCTCGGCTCAGCCTGCTCGATGCCGATAAGACTTTTCATTTTCAGGCCACCGCAATTTTGGAAAAGTCGGAAATGGCCGAGGTGCGAGGAGGACGTCCGATAAAAGTGGAATAACAAAGAAGAGGAGAAACCTGCTGCTTCCGACACATTGAAGGCTGCAGCGGTGTGTGTGTGAGTGTGTGTGTGTGTGTGTGTGTGGGGGGGTGTTAAATTGAACATTTCCCTGCAGCATCCAAACAACAGCACTGCGATCACATGACTTTGGCCTCACAGTAAAACAGAAACGTTGCTCTTCATACTGAATCTTTCCATTAGAACTTCAGCCTGAATATGAATGGTTTCTCATCACGCTTTTATCTCGCCATCGGCGCCGTCTCAGACCGAGCGCCAAGTGTCTCGGCTTTAGAGACATTGGATAAAACCAGCAAAGCAGTCAATCTGGCAGTGTAATTACCCATCATGCAGTAGCTCAGAGCTGTTCTTCCTCCCTCTAGGTGCATGAAGAGATAAAATAAAGTTAATCCCTCACACCCAACCTGACTTCACGTCGCAGTGCTGGTTGTCACCACAGAAACTTAATAGAGCTTAATACGATTTATGGTTAAGGAAATTAAACCAATGAGCAAATGACAGAGAGGAAAGTTAAAAAGGTGCAGTTTGTTTGTGATGGCTTACTGCTAAATAATCAGAGCTTTTAAGGAAAAGGCACCATGTACTGGATAAAAGCACAGATGGAACACAATGATGAAATGACACAATTCCCAACATGTTCATACAAAGTGACCTCGGGGGAAACTGCCTTTTGCATTATCAGTGTCCTGCACCCGCGAGTCCCGTCTCTGCCATTTGCACACCAGTAATCAATACGTCTCATTTCCCTGACAGGCAGAGATTGCTGCCCAGGTAAACAAAGTGAAAGACTCGCTGCAGTCATTAAAATTGCACAACCGTTATTTTCCTCACGGCCAATTGCAGCAGGCGCAAGTAATGACCTTCACATGGCGAGGCTCCTTTAAGACGCGCTTTTGTCCTGAACAAGCAGGCATCTAAACCAACTTTCATTTTATTGAAGCATTTTTGAGCGCTAGAGATGAAGAATATCCCTTTTGTTCAAGGATCATTCAAAATAGGACCCGGGATACAGATGTGCAGTGTGGGAGGGAGAGAGGGGAGAGAGTTTGATACCATTATTGGGGTACAAACATTTTGACAGCGTTGAAGCGAAAAGGCGTCAGTCAGTAAGCTTTTCCTC